GGGGGGGTGGGGGCTGTGGGGTGGGGAGAGGAAGACAGCTTGAGCGAGTGTGGAGGGAAGAGCTGGCAAGCTCCACTTGCTGGATGAGAGCTTGGGTGGGAGAGAAGTCAAGGATGGGCTGCTAGAGTTTTGGCCTTGGCAGCTGGATGGATGGTGGTAGCATTTACAGAGAAAGCAGCTGCAGGGTGTGGCATCTGGGGATAGGAATCAAGATTTCTGTTTTGTACGTGTTCAGTTCAAGATGCTTATGTGAGTGCTCCTGCAGCTGAGAGGAAAGTCAGGACAAAAGATAGAAATTTGGGAGATACTGGCTTATGGGGTGGGGAGTTCAGAGAGACTGACCCCGGGGCACTCACATGGCGACTCAGAGGAAGGAGGGGACTTACCCATTGCACGTGGCAACGTGGTGACATGGATGACCACGGGAAGGGCTTTGGGACGGAGGGACCCTGAGTGGAATAGGGTGAAGGAGGGGATGGAGGGGTGCCTGGGGAAGCAGCATGGTGGACAGCTCTTCAGTGGGTTTTGTGAAGGGGAGCTGCGGTGGGGGAGGGAGGGGGTCAAGGAAGGAGGTGGATGGGGGACGGCCCAGGAGAGAGGCAGAGGAGTTGCAGGGACCAGGTCCTTCGTGGTGCACGGGTGTGCAGGGCTAGCCTTGCAGAGAGGTGGGGAGGGATGGAGATGCAGCTGTTCCAGGTGGTGGCAGGTCTGGTGTTGGGAAGACGAGGTATTCTTGTTCACACCTGTGTGCTCTGAGGAGGACAAGCCGGTAGCAGCAGCTGAGGGACGGGGCAGGGGGAGGGTGTGGCACCCCGTGCATGGCATTGTCACAGGCCAGTCCCTGAGATGCCGGTGCAGGCCCCTGTTCATCTTGGTCCCATCATTGGGGAGCAGCCCACTGATATGCGCCCCCTTGAGTCCTCTGAGCAGGGGTCTCACCAGGCTTTGCTCCAGTCATCTCTGCCCAACATTCTTCCTCCCCTCCTGCTCTTCATTTAGAACCTGTCTCCTAGGAACACAGGTGATTTGATCTCAGTTTTCCTGCTTGTACCCAGAGTTAGGGCTTTAGAGTCCAGCAGGAGCAGTGCACCTGTGTGGAGGTGCCAGGAATGAAGGTGCTGTCACAGAGGTGGCTGGCCTGCAAAGACCAGCTGTTGGGGCACTGCCAGAGCAGGGGGACCTGGAGCTTCTCTTGGGGCCACCATTCTGCTGAGGCAGGTGAGGAGCCTTGTGGTTCATGTCACAGGGAGATCCCAGGAGCCACCTGAAGCCGTCTCCCTCCTTTGTGGCCTTTGAAAATTCACAGGTAACATGTAAGTGTGATATAGAAGTCGGGGGGACCAGATGGGGTGACATGAGATGGTGATCAATATCTAATAGCTTCAGTTCTGTTTTTATTGCCATTTCTCCAACTGTGTAGCTACTTCTAGACTTTGCATTCGTTTTTTGGAGAAAGAGTGAAAATCCTGTTACTTAGCAGAGACTCTGGAAGGGAGGGAGGGAGGTTCAGGTGGAATCCAGCCCCTTGCAAGCCTCTCAGTCAATTTATTTAACCTCACTCTGCTTAGTTTTCTTGTCAGTAAAACAGTGATAACAATCTGCCTGCATAGGATTGAAAAGGTTTATATGATAATATCTAAAACACCCAACTTGGAACTTGGCCCAGCAGACATTCAACAGATTTGAGTTGCCAAGTGTCTGAATGTCTACTGCGTGCCAGGCACTGTGCTGGGTACATGGGTTCAGGGGGGAACTGAGCCTCTGCTCTTCATGAGGTCTGCATTCTAGTGGGCCTAGGGGACAGCCAACAGCAAACCACACCCGTGCTTTGTCACACGGCACTGGTGCTAGGAAGAGAAATGCAGCAGGGAAAGGAGGCCTTGGTGCCATGTGAGCAGAGCCTTGAGGAGCTGTGTTAGGCATCGGCTGTCTCGTGAGAGCTTCTAGGCAACATCCCTTATGCACATTCTTCAGAATGTGGAAGCGTGCCTGACATCTGTGTGATGTCATTGGTGGCCTGACACCTGGGTGGCAGAAAAGACCGCTGAGCAGTGCCATGCAGCCTCTGTGTGCTTCTCTTGCAGGGTTCAACTCCCTGGTGGGCGGCGTGATGGGCTTCTCCATCCTGCTGAGCGCGGAGGTGTTCAAGCACAACGCAGCGGTCTGGTACCTGGATGGCAGCATAGGTGTCCTCATCGGCCTCACTATATTTGCCTACGGGGTCAAGTACGTTGCTGCTTGCGTCTCTGCTTTCCTAGCCAGGAGTGCCACTTTTTTCACCCCTTCCCCAGTGAGGAAATGACAGAGCAGGATCCTGACAGTCACCTCTTGTACTTGGGTCCCTCCTGAGCCTGACTGTCAGGTGACTGGAAAAGCTCCCTGCAGGGGTCAGATATTCTTGTGGCTGGCACAGTAGTGAGGCAGGGACTTTGCCCAGAGGCTTAAGGCTTTTAAGCCACAAAGGGACTCCTTGTCTGGTGTCTTTATCATTCACTGAATGGTCCTCCCTTTAGCTCTTTGTGACCTGGGGATTTATGCTCCTTCCTCTAACAGTGGTCTTCACGGTGTCCCAGGCAAGTGTCTGTGTGGTTTCCTCACGTGTGACACCCCTCCTGCCACATGTGGGAGATGCTGCAGTGAGTTCTGGGAGCCCAGCAGCACCACGCAGCCCGAGGCTGGGCCTCGACCTCAGGGAACTTCTTGGTAAAGGGACTAGTCAGTGCAGAAGGTCCATGCTGAGGAATTGCCCCTCATCCAGGCTGGAGTCGGCCTTTGAGAGAACCATTTCTACAAGGTGCTGTGCTTTTAAATGTTAAAACACTTCCCGTCTCCCACTAGGATGGCTCCAGTCAAAAGGAGGGACAGTACTGACTGTGCTGGCGAGGATGTGGAGGAATTGAAACCCTCACATGTTGCTGGAGGGAATGTACCATGGCGCTGCTGCTTGGAAAAACAATTGGGCGGTTCCTCAAAACGTTAAACATGGAATTACTGTCTGACCCTGCAATTCCACGCCTTGTATATGATCCGAATGAATGAAAATACACATCCACGCCAGCACTTGTACTTAACGTTCACAGGAGTGTTATTCACGGCAGGCAAGAGTAGAAATGACCCAAATGTCCCTTAACAGAAGAATGGATAAAGGTGGCAGATCCACACAAGGGACTTGTTACTCAGCCGTAAAGAGGGACGAAGTACTGATCCGTGCCACATCATGGATGAACCTCAAACACTGTCCAGCGACAGAAGCTAGTCACAGAAGGCCACATGCAGTGATTCCATGTATATGAATATCCAGAATAGGCAAATCCATAGAGAACAGAAGTAGGTCAGCGGTTGCTGGGTGGGGTGGGAAGGGGAAACGGGGAGTGACTGCTAGTGGGTATGGGGTTTCTTTGGGGGAAGATAAAAATGTTCTGGAATTAAGATAGTGGGAATGATTACACGAATTCATGAATATACTAAAAGCCACTGAATTGTAGTACACTGTAAAGGGGTGAATTTTTTGGTATGTGAACGATTTCAGAAATTCTAACAACTTCCTTCGTACCGCCCGTGACTATGGAGGTGACCATGTCTGTCTCCCCCTTGCAGGCTCCTCATCGACATGGTGCCCAGAGTGAGGCAGACGCGTCACTACGAGATGTTTGAGTGACGGTGGCTGGTGGGGCTGCGCCACATCAAGACCGTCAGGACAGTGCGAGGTTTCCACGTAGGCAGATGGTGCCAATATTTAACTGAACATCCAGTTTCTTTTTTGGAAGTTTTCTTTCACACAGTTTGTCATCACGGGACGAAGTCTGCCCAGTGGTCGATCTGACCTGCTCCCTCCCTCCGCTGCCCCATCAAACACATTAGGACATCTCCCATAGGAGGGGACAGGCTTGCCATCTCCAGCAGGACTGACATCCTCTATTTTCTGGAGTAAATGGTTCTTGGGGATAGAGTAAGATCTCTGCTTGGCAGAAAGTTTTCCAGTGGTGCTCCAAGCCTGAAATGGATACTTAACTGACCAGATCCACCTTCTCCAGACTGTGCGTGGCTCCAGCCACCTCCTCGTTCTGAAGTCCCATATCCCCTGGCAGATTTTAAGGGAAGACTGTACCCTTTTGTCCCTCCCCCCATTACTTATCCAGAACCATCAGTATATCACTTTCTAATTTCTATCAATGTATTTCATTAGTTTCATACTGTTTTACTAACCCTAAATCTAAACAGATTTGTTCACACGACCATTCTATTTTTTAAAGTACTTAGTGATATACGTATGAGCTTTGCATGAATGACCTAATAAGCACATGCCCCTTTCTCGTACATTCAGAACCTGAACATCCATGTAAAAACAGGATACAGTACTTAGTGATATACGTATGAGCTTTGCATGAATGAATAAGCACATGCCCCTTTCTCGTACATTCAGAACCTGAACATCCATGTAAAAACAGGATACATTTTTGAGAGATGTGAAACTACAGTTTATTTGTAATAAATAATTATATAATCTATTCGTATATGCATATATCTATATGCTGTGTTAAGTGGTAATGGTACATTACAGTCTGTGAGAGATGGTTGACTCCACTGTAAGGAACACGACGTTCTCAGTTTATGTAACGTTAGGTGTAGATTCCATAGACGTGATTCCCCACAACCTTCTGTACCTCTCACACTACTGCTCGTCCAGGCAGCGGTGTCTGACCAATAAAGACCTTTACCAGTTTTGTATGGTATGGGAGATAATCTTTGAGAGTTGTCACCCTGCGGCACCAGCACATGGGGAGCCCTCATCCTGGGCAGGATTTCTGTGGCTGAAGGGGTTGCCTGTGTGGAGTTGAGAGTGGACACACTGAAGGACTGTCGCGATGGGCTTGGGGCATCTGGTGGACAGGCCCACCCCCACTAACCTCTCAGGGAGGGAAAAAGAGAGACCACACATTCATTTGGTGGCTCTGGAGGCCCTTGGAAGCCAGTCTTGCCTGGAACCAAGGGATGGCTGTGCCCCAGGCCTTACCCCAGCCTTCAGTGTCCCCCACCGCCAGCCAGTTAAGGGAAGGTTGTTTGTTCGAGGTCATGGAACCTTGGTCCAGTATGCTTTCAGTGGGGCTTCCCCCCGTGGTTTGCTGAAGATCTTCCCTACCGGATGTTTGAGTGAGTTTGGGAACTGCAGGATTTGATGATGGGTTTCCTTCTGCAGGTTTTCTCATTGCATACACATCGTGGACACTCAGGGAAGGATGCTACCATGTAGCATTCCCCCAACTCAGGCACTCAACGTTCCCTTGGCACCTTTCTTAGGACTTGTCTACCAAACATGCTCTGTGAACCATGTGGTATCACTGATGAAGGCTGGGTCAGGGTGGCTCCAGCATTACTTGCAGACAAGGGATAGCGTGGACTCCAGGGCATTTGCCTAACCAAGTGCTCATAGCCCTCTGATCATTGGTTCATAAGCTGCTTTTTCTGAGGGGGAGACCTGTATTCCAGGTCTAACAGTCGCTGGGCCTCAGAGAGCATTTTTAGTAGCCCATTGTGAGATTTTTAAATGTCTGTCTGGGGAAGTGTATCATATTTTTAAAAAAAGCTCACTTTCTAATTCAGCTCTCTTTAGGTGAAGGTAAGGCAGAGAGACGGCTCTGAAGTTACTATTCGTAGATGCGATGAAGGGAGAGAATATTCAGTAGTAAAACTCTTACCTTTCCCTCCTCAAATATACCTCCCTAGCAGTGTTTTCAGCAGTGCTTGCAAACCATAAAACAGCTGTGTGGGAGTCAGCAGATGCAGCTGGACAGCAGCTCAACTTTGTTCTGGAGATGACCCTGCACCCACCCAGCCCCCCAAAAATCACTTCCAGCTGTCACACAAGAAAAGTTTATTGAAAAATAAAGTTCTCCCTAGTTTCTCTAGAACAGTGGAAAACAAAGCAGTGCTCTCTATGCCGGTACAGTACATTTGGACGGCGACACCTTACTTGCAGAATCNCATACTGTTTTACTAACCCTAAATCTAAACAGATTTGTTCACACGACCATTCTATTTTTTAAAGTACTTAGTGATATACGTATGAGCTTTGCATGAATGAATAAGCACATGCCCCTTTCTCGTACATTCAGAACCTGAACATCCATGTAAAAACAGGATACATTTTTGAGAGATGTGAAACTACAGTTTATTTGTAATAAATAATTATATAATCTATTCGTATATGCATATATCTATATGCTGTGTTAAGTGGTAATGGTACATTACAGTCTGTGAGAGATGGTTGACTCCACTGTAAGGAACACGACGTTCTCAGTTTATGTAACGTTAGGTGTAGATTCCATAGACGTGATTCCCCACAACCTTCTGTACCTCTCACACTACTGCTCGTCCAGGCAGCGGTGTCTGACCAATAAAGACCTTTACCAGTTTTGTATGGTATGGGAGATAATCTTTGAGAGTTGTCACCCTGCGGCACCAGCACATGGGGAGCCCTCATCCTGGGCAGGATTTCTGTGGCTGAAGGGGTTGCCTGTGTGGAGTTGAGAGTGGACACACTGAAGGACTGTCGCGATGGGCTTGGGGCATCTGGTGGACAGGCCCACCCCCACTAACCTCTCAGGGAGGGAAAAAGAGAGACCACACATTCATTTGGTGGCTCTGGAGGCCCTTGGAAGCCAGTCTTGCCTGGAACCAAGGGATGGCTGTGCCCCAGGCCTTACCCCAGCCTTCAGTGTCCCCCACCGCCAGCCAGTTAAGGGAAGGTTGTTTGTTCGAGGTCATGGAACCTTGGTCCAGTATGCTTTCAGTGGGGCTTCCCCCCGTGGTTTGCTGAAGATCTTCCCTACCGGATGTTTGAGTGAGTTTGGGAACTGCAGGATTTGATGATGGGTTTCCTTCTGCAGGTTTTCTCATTGCATACACATCGTGGACACTCAGGGAAGGATGCTACCATGTAGCATTCCCCCAACTCAGGCACTCAACGTTCCCTTGGCACCTTTCTTAGGACTTGTCTACCAAACATGCTCTGTGAACCATGTGGTATCACTGATGAAGGCTGGGTCAGGGTGGCTCCAGCATTACTTGCAGACAAGGGATAGCGTGGACTCCAGGGCATTTGCCTAACCAAGTGCTCATAGCCCTCTGATCATTGGTTCATAAGCTGCTTTTTCTGAGGGGGAGACCTGTATTCCAGGTCTAACAGTCGCTGGGCCTCAGAGAGCATTTTTAGTAGCCCATTGTGAGATTTTTAAATGTCTGTCTGGGGAAGTGTATCATATTTTTAAAAAAAGCTCACTTTCTAATTCAGCTCTCTTTAGGTGAAGGTAAGGCAGAGAGACGGCTCTGAAGTTACTATTCGTAGATGCGATGAAGGGAGAGAATATTCAGTAGTAAAACTCTTACCTTTCCCTCCTCAAATATACCTCCCTAGCAGTGTTTTCAGCAGTGCTTGCAAACCATAAAACAGCTGTGTGGGAGTCAGCAGATGCAGCTGGACAGCAGCTCAACTTTGTTCTGGAGATGACCCTGCACCCACCCAGCCCCCCAAAAATCACTTCCAGCTGTCACACAAGAAAAGTTTATTGAAAAATAAAGTTCTCCCTAGTTTCTCTAGAACAGTGGAAAACAAAGCAGTGCTCTCTATGCCGGTACAGTACATTTGGACGGCGACACCTTACTTGCAGAATCCTGCACTACTTAACCCCAGAAGTGAACAGTAGAAAACGGTTGGACCAGGATCTGTTTAAAGACAAAGATGCAAATGGCCATTAGCTTAAAGACATCAAGGTTGTAACTACACTAGAAGGGATGTCACCATCTCCTTTGGCATCAATTGTTATGCTATTGTCTTGTAAATACTTGGGCAGGACAGTGTGCAAAATGCTCCCCAAGTTTGCTCCATCTCAGCTTTGGGGAATGGATGGACTGCACTAAGCTTCCCGACCTGTCTGCAGCACCACAAATGACCTCAGAGTGCTCACTACCCACCCCCATCCCCCATAGAGAATGGCTCTCCCACCAAATAAGACCCTTTCATCCCTTTGCCATGCCTCCCCTGCTATGGGGGTTTGGGTGGGGCTGAGGGACAGTCTTAAGGCCCCAAAATATCTGGGACAGAGAGAGTGACAATTGGAAAAAGGTAAGTTCTAATCATATCCACAGAATGGTAAGGCTGACTCAGCTGAAGAGAATACAAAGAAATTAAGACACTGGACTCCAGCAAATTCCCCCATATTCCCCAACTACAATCTATCCAGAGTTATGCCAAGATCGGGCATGAGATAAAACAGTCCACCAGGGAAGTAAAAACAAAAAGCAAACGATATTTAGGGGATTTGGGAAAACATCAACCACAAGGAGCCTCTGGGAGCTAAATGAGGCCCAAATCCTCCCGGTGCTTCTGCTGGCTACCCCCGGGGTGGGGTTGGGGTGGGTTTTCTCTGGGACCAGTCCATGGAATTTAATTTGATTGAAACATGAGAGTCTGATCCCAGAGGACAGAAGGGACCGCCCTGGCCAGCAGGGGGCAGCGAAGAGACTTCCTGGGGAATGTGTAGTTTAATTGGTCGTTCGTTCCTCCTCAACACAGAAAGGCCTCCGTTATTGCATTTCAGAGGCACTGTGTTAATTTTGATTCAAGGGGTGCAGTCTGTCAGAGAACTCATTTTGATTTCTAGCTCAAAAAAGTTCTTCAAAGAAAACCCTTGGAATGTTTTGGAAGACATCAGTGGGGTAAGGTTCAGTATGTGACCAAAGGTCACCTTTATCCTTTTCAGTTCCAGTTTATAAACTTTTGCAGCCTTGTTTCACTGGGTGCTGAAGTCTAGCATATTTTCAAATCACTCAGTGCATTCAGGAATACAGTAAAATTTCAACCAGCAGGGTAGGCACAGAACTTGACACACTAAACCAGTAATTCCTACAACATTCAATCCACTTGGAATAATATCGTCATGTAGGCATTACTTTTGAATCAAGAGATAGGGAGTGAGCTCAGCTCTTTATTTCTCAAGTTTTATGAAACACTAATAACAACAATATTTAACATTTACTAGGGCTTACTATGTGCCAGGCACTGTGCTAAACATTGAATCCTCACAAAACCCTAAGTGCTAAGACAGCTTTTCTGCATCTGAGACTATACAGCTAATTTGGTCTTTTGCTATAAAAGATTGGTTTTGTACTTTTTGTTGAAGCCAACAAGAATGAAAGGAACTCACCCTCAGCTTTATGAAATTCCCAGCTTCCTAAATGAGTATGAATCTATTTGTGTCCATCCATTCATATGAAGATGCTCTGCAGCCCCAAAGGGATGGATGGGATTAGAATAAAGCCAATATGGAAATTAAAATACTTTAAAATAAATAAAACAATCCAGGCTTGGGATAGTAACACATACAACAGAGCCTGTCGTTAACAAAATAAACTTTTTCTTTTTTTTTAAATCAAAAATTTGGGGGCATGGGGGAGGGTAGCAGTGTCAAATTATATACACCATCTAGGTGAACCACCTTGGAGAAATGGAGTGGCCCACCATGGTCTGGTCTGAAAAGCATACATCCACCTATAAACAACACAGTTTCAGTCTAACCTCTTATATTGGTGTCTTCACTACCAGTGAGTGGTACTAGGGCTTTACTCCGGTGGGGGAAGCTAATTATTCACCTTCATTAAATCCTGCATTCATTAAGGAAATAAAAAGGGTGCATATACTTTCCTTTCCATGATACTAACAGCTGATGTATTTCTGGGCCAGTGCTTCTAAGGAGCTCAGTGGTGCCTCATACCCCTTCGGTGCCACCCCTCACATAGGGCTGGACTTCTGCCTTGGCCACACCACAGCAACAGCCTGGGTGGCAGGGAGCACAGGCCTGTCAGCACATTGGCAAGAGAGACCTGAAGATAGGGCCGAGCATTCCAGGAGGGCGCGGCTGTGCACACACTTTGGCCTGAGGCACTGGGGGCATGCCTGGTGTTCAGCCTGAACATCTGCAGTGACCTAAGGACATGACCTGTCTACAAGCTGGACGAGTCTGCTGTCATCCTTCAACAGCACCCGATTCGATAAACTAACCCCAAAGAAAAGTGAAAAGGCACATCAGGGAAACAAACATTGCCAAACAAACAGACTCTAACATCTCCACACACACAAAAAAGCAAACTATAATAAGCAGTGACCAAAACCCAATCAGAGCAAAAATGCATAAAGTGTCTCCATTTGCACACGTGCAAATCAAACTGCATACACAAAATAAATGAGGTGTCTACTGCATCCAGACAAGTGTGTTTCCCCTTTCAGGAGTTTTTATTCCAAGCTTTCAAGGGGAAGCTTCCTATCAATCAATTAGATAAATATTTTCCCTCAAGTTTAAGAGCTTAGGATCACAATGGGGAAAACAACCTAAAAGACCAGGCAAGATGATTATAGTACAGGAAAGCATTAATCCTAGGATTTCTCTCCCCCTGGAAGTGTCACCAATTACTACTCAGATTAGGATTCTATTAAGATCAGCGGTGGAAGAACTGCTGCAGGCTCCCAGCCCATGCTGGCAGAGACGTCTTCCTCTCCTTATCCACACACGGCAGATGGAAGCCCCTTCCCCGATTTCCTCTTGAGAGTCACTGACCAGACCTGGGCCAGTCTGAGGAAGCCTGGGAGCCGGTATGTATTTGGGGCCACTGACAGTTGACAATGCCTTTAACAGCTGGAGTGTGGATTTGTTTGCCCCCAAAGCAGCAGCCCATCTGTGGAACTCCAGCTTACTTCCAGCCAATACTGGACTGGGGGGTAGTAAGAGGAATTTTTAAATTGGAGAAAGTGCTCTTCTGGGCTGCCTGCCCCCAGGGTCCTGACTTGAGGAGGAACTAGAAGGTAGAGAAGCCTCCTAAGTTTCAGAATTCCTGGGCTTGCTTGAACAGCTCTGTGCTAAATGAGCTGGGAAATCAGTCTCGGTCGGCAGGCTCCCCCTGCTGGTAGAATGACTGCACTGATATCCTCAGTATCAGAAGTTCCTAAAAGAGCCCAGGAGAGGGCAGCACTGGCCCAGGAACAGCAGGGCTGGGAACTCAGGCAAATTCCCACACCCCAGAGTGCAGCCGAGAGGCCCGTTCACAGGGAAGAGCTCTTCCTGCCCTCCTACTGCAGGAAGCCGCCCTTGCAAAGCATAAAGGGCAGGAACACACACTCGTACTCTATCACCAGTTCCTTTGGACTTCTGCCCTTCTTGTGGCTGGGTCCAGGCAGAGGCTATTCTCAACCAGATCTTGAGGGGCCCCTGAATTGATGCTCAGGGGCCACTCTTCCCCTCCATTCTCTTGAACTGCCATTGCAACTAAAAATCTACTGAGCAGGGATCTGAAGGCCTTAAAAAAAAAAAAAAAAGGCTGGCTATGCATTTGGTATTACTTATGCACCAGGGTAGAAACCAAGAAGCAGGCACCACCTAACTTGTCAGACTTAAAGACTGCATGCTCTCTCTGGTCCCCACGAAGCAGAATTCTTCCTTTCCTTCACTCCTGAAGGCCAACCCAGCCATTACTCTTGCCCAACTGTTCTGTCTGGCCGAGGCTCCACCTGGCTGTCCCTCCATTCCCCAACAGCAGGCAGGGTGCTGGCAAGCACAGTGCTGCAGGCATGGGCAGAGGGCCAAGCCACCAAGGCACTCCACACCACCAGAGGATGCCCACAGCTCCTAGCAGGGACGGTCTGACAGAGGTGGAAGGGGGCTCATTCTCACCGGCATGAAGGTGCACACAGAGCATGGAAACAAAGGCAAAGCCCAGGTCCTCCAGGGTTTGGAAGCTGGGACCCAACGTGTCTGACTGGGCCACCCAGCTGACTGGCTCATCCCTGTCAGAATAATCGCCTAGAGTAAAAGCCAGCCTCAGACTCCCACCCCTCATGAGCCACACGCCAGGACAGCACACACTTATCCTGAGCTGCTCCTGCTCCCCCAACAGACACCAAATTCACCAAAAGCCCCACTGCCTGGACTTTATGGTATCTGACATCAGAGGGAACACGACACAAGTCCACCTGTCAGGAGCCCAGATCCGGTTGTGCCATCAGTTCTTAAGGACCGACTTCAACCCCATCCAAATCTCAGTTCAAACACAAACCTCTCTGTGGGCTAAAGAGCTGGCCCTCCAAGTCCAAGGGCAGCTTTCTGAGTCCCACATCTCTGCTTCCCACCTTACAATGGCGTGGGAGGGAGAGAGAATTTATTACAAATTAGTAAACATAAACTCCCCAATCCCACCTTTCTTTTCTAAAGGGATTCTAACCAGAAATTAGGACCTAAGTGTGTGTGTGGGTGGGCAAGAAACACGGAGGAAAAAGGCCTCTCTGGGCTACAAAGCAGCCCCGTGTTTTGTCACTGGGCTCTCTGGACAACACAGGCACGTCTCCCTATGCCAAGGGGGTGCCTGTCCTCTAGCTGTCGTCTGGCCAGCACACCCAGGATTGGCTCTACAACAATGCCCTAGAGCATCGGGCTGTTTCCAAAGCAAGATTTTCTTTTGCTCTGCTGCCATCCACTTTGAGAAGCCAGGTCCCCACAGCTGCCCTCGAGATGCCACCAGCCCTATGGCACTCCCTGTCTCCGGCCCACTGCCGAGAGAACAGTATAGTGAAGGTGGATGGTAAACAGTAGAGAGTAAAAGAAACATGTGATCAATCCCTTTTCTCCCTCCCCGGTGCCCCTCCCTCCCTCCCTCCCAAATAAATAAGTTAATGGGTTTAGGAATGTTCCCATTCAAAGTTCTTTCCAATCAGTTCTATTCCTCTTGTTTTGTTTTAAATGAATCTTGAGTATTTCTTTTTACCCTGGAGCAGCTGCCTTGACAGAGTCTCCCCACAGTTGCTCCTCAAAAAATAGAAATGACATTGTGCCAGGGAGAAGCCAGACTCCCGGCCTGACATCTGCTCTCACTGTGTTGTGGTGAAAACTCCGCTGCGATGCTCTGACCGCAGCAGGAGCAATGCCAAATTGAAACCTTCCACCAAAATGTTCAGGGCTCTGGCCAGAGTCCCTGCATGACTTCTGCCCCCAGCCCTGCCCGATGGGACTGGAGCCGCCAACCTCCCCACCACAATGACTGTGGGGCTGGGCAGGTGGCTGCTATAGGCAGTCTTTGCAGAGGGCCACCTGGCCCTTGATGAAGTCCCGGCAGGGGCAGATCCTCTGGTGCCTGGGGTGGGCGCCCGCACAGCTGAAGAGCAGGAGGTCACCTTGGAACACACAGTGCTTGTTCTTAGGGTCGAAGGAGGGCACCAGGATGTCCTTGGCCAGCTCTGAGCTGTGGCAGGTCACCTCATACCTGAAGAGGAAGAGAAAGGCACACAGGTTGGAGATGCAGGGAACACAGCCTGTCCTTGTACTGCCCCGTCAGCCCACCTCCTGAGGTATGGGGAGGACATCCGTTCTTCTGCTTTAGAAATGATGTGCCCCAAGACTCTGACCCACAGTTCTCCACCCCTAGTCATCCAGAAAGACATGCGTGTGCCAGGACGTGCACACGAGGTGCGTGCGCGAGGACACTCAGCGAAGCCTTGTCTGTAATGGAGAACTGGAAACTACCTGAATACTCACCAAACAGGGGGTGGCTGAATACATTATGGCCCGTTTGTGCTTTTGGAGTTCTATGCAGCCCTTGAAAAAGAATGAGGGAGAAATGCGTGCACCAGCATGACAGCTGTCCTGGGGGACGGTGAGTTCTGGAACAGATGTGCAGTGTGACCGACAGTGAGTGCAGTGAGGGTGTGAGAGTTGGAAAGGCCACACACTAACGTGCTGGCAACGGTGGCTTCTGAGGAGTGAGACTGGGGCAAAGCTGTGTGTTTCTTAAATATTTTTAGAAAGTATGCTTAACTTTTTAATTAAACGCTTTGCATGACAGCTGTCCTGGGGGACGGTGAGTTCTGGAACAGATGTGCAGTGTGACCGACAGTGCGTGCAGTGAGGGTGTGAGAGTTGGGAAGGCCACACACTAACGTGCTGGCAACGGTGGCTTCTGAGGAGTGAGACTGGGGCAAAGCTGTGCGTTTCTTAAATATTTTTAGAAAGTATGCTTAACTTTTTAATTAAACGCTTAAAAAAATTCCTGTTATATGGCCTTTGCTCCTGCTGGAAAGCAATCCGGGGTAACGGTTCACTGAACCTTTGCAGCTACCCTTCGGCCATGGTACTAGTAACCCCAGAGGGAGATAAGTGAGCAAAGGCTTCGGGATGTGCAGGGCGGGGTCTGAATCCAGGCCCTGCTCCTGAGCCTTGTGCTCTCGCTCCTCTGCCATCTTTTCCCAACAGCTGAGTCATCTGTGGGCTGGGGACCCTCATGGCTTTGCTTCCTTGGGCTGGGACCACTGTATGGGGGGTTAATGATATGCTGGATGTGCCCACTCCTAAGGGTGTTGGCCTCGTAAAGAAGAGTGACCCATCTTTTCTTCTCGGCTGGGATGCTTTAGTCCTACCTACCTGGGCTCCCCAGAACAAGAGGGCCTCACCTGGTGTCCCACACTGATGCCAGGTGGGAACCAGTGCTGAACCCGAGTCTGGAGAAGGAGGTGTAAAGGGCTGGCCAGACCTGGGTCTGAGTCCCAGCTTCATCTCTTAGGAGCTGTGTGACCCTAGCCAAATGACTGAGCCTCTCTGTGGCTTGGTTGTCTCTTCTGTAAAATGGGGATAAATAATCCTTAATTGCAGGAGTTAAATTAGTGCTTCTAGAACACTTGGCAGAATCTAGCTTTTAGTTAGTAGCTAATAAATGGTAATGATAATTATTATTATGATTATTGTCATCATCATCCTGCCCTGGCAGATGTTGGAGGGGCCATGCCACCTCCGTCCCTTGCCTGATGTAGTGATGTATGAAGCATTTCCATTTCTCTCTGTCCATGGAGGTCTCTTTGTCCAGTAAGCTTCTTGCTGACAGGGAGGGAGGGGATCGTTGTCTCTGGGCAGCTTCCACACTGGGAGTGGCGAGCGTCAGGGCATCACTCTCGTCTTCCTCTGACTGCCCGGCCCCGCCTCTCTTTGCTGACATTAATTCAGCGATTCCCAGCACATCTGTTGGGGCTTCTGGCGAGCTCTTTGAGGCTGCCAGCCTGGCTCCTGCTCAGTCATGGCTTCTGGAACTCAGCACATCACTGGCACTCGGCCTGCCTTCCCAGGGCCCCCGCACATGCCTATTAGATCAGGAGAGCAGCCCCCTTATCTCGCCCCTGCAGTCACCAGGGGCGTTCTCCGACTTCTCTAAATACCCTAACACCCTGTTCTTGGTGCCAGCTGGGAGGTGCTGGTGCCCAGGGGGTTAAGGTCATGGACCATGAAGGAAGAGGGCAGGAAGTGGAAGTTTTATGGGTTTCCTAAAAGGAAAAATAAGTCAGAGACTTGAGGCTTACCAAGTCCTTCACAGGACACCCTGACTGGCCAACAAAGAGAATGGGGTATCGGAGCTCAATTTTGAAATGAAAGTTTATGTAAGGAATGTGGCCTTGGGATACAGATTTACACCTATACTATTTCCTTGTTTAGGTGAATTATAGCAGCTGCTGTGTCTTAACTCAAACCATCTGCCTGGCACACTGCTAACAGGGAGTGAGGGAATCTACAGCTCCTCTCAGACTCCACGTGAGGGGTGTAATTGCCAGGAGGCCTGAAGAGCCCTTCTGCTGCCTCCTGGGCCACTGGACTCTGGCTCCAGGCCAGTCTCCCAGGGTATGAACACAGGTGCTCAAGCAAGGCTGCAGCTGCAGAAGCCTGCCTGAGCCAATGTACAAAGACACTGTGAAGGCTCGAGCAGCAGCTGCTTCCCAGAGCCACAGGGCAGATGTGTCACGGGGCAGGTCCTTGAAGGTCCAATCAGTATGGCACTGTGGGCACAACAAGACGGCTCTGGCCACTTTTGCATGCCACCCAATCCCTGGCCTGAGCGTCTCCCAGGCCCCTAGGGAGCTTCTTCTTCCATTGGCACGCAGGTGCCTGCCCCACAGCCCCGGGCAGTCAGGAAGGCACTCCATCAGCCTTGCTTAACTAAAGAGCAAAAGTTACCAGTGAGGTGAAGCGAATTTCCCCAGTCGCTAGAGTGCACCCAGAGAGCAGATGGCCTCCACAGCCCAGGGGTCCCTGAAGCCCATGAATCCTCTGCCTTTCCAGTGTGTGCACAGTGCTGCATCTGCCTCTGTCCCCATGGTGTCTGTCACACACACACCCTCCCGCTCAGAGACTCCACGCACGGTGTGCCAACTCCTCTCCAGTTGGCCTCCGTGGCTTCCTTATAGGATGGGAGTTGGGGCTTCTAGGGCCCAGTGGCCCTCAGTTTACATGTTTCTAGCTCTTGAAGAACAGAGGGCAGAGCCCCTTTGCATGGGGCTGTCCACTTCTTCCCCTGCAGCCACTGGGGCTGTCCACTTCTTCCTCTGCAGCTTAGCTGAGAACCCCAGGCATCAGAGATGAGGAGAGAAGCCACCTGTCCCTCCACAACACACAGACACATGACACATGGCCCTTCTGGGTAGTGAGACAGAAGGAGGGCCATCCTACGTGCTGCTCCTACTCCTCCTGCTCACCCCTGCCCCGCCTCCCTCCCTCCCTCAGCCCCCCTCGAGAGGGCCCTGTTTATTCCAGCCCTGACCCCACCAAGTCCTACCCAAACCCCCTCGTGATCACTCTGACTCAGTGCCACCTCCCTTCTCTAGGTGCCAAAGCACTCAGTCTACACTTCACCACTTAGAATTCCCCTACTCAGAGAGAAATCCCAATCACCAAATAATTTTAAATTTTTGTAGATACAACTTTAAAAAGAGGCAGCAAAACTACAAACCAGCTCCACATTAACTCGTGTTCCTATTTATGGAGCCGAGGTCTTCCCCACTGGGCCACTGGAATGGACTCTGGTACTTCCCAGGACTCTCTGCCTTCTGGTCCCCTCATCCCAGGCTGAGTGGAGTCTTGTCCAGAGGACAGGTCACACCTGAGACATGCATGCTCTGTGGTGGTCCCCCAGCACTTAATTGTACCCTGTTACAAGTATGGGGGCTCAAAGACCAGTTGCTTGATTCTCCCTGATTCAAGACGACAGTACTGCTGTCAAAAGGGCTCAATTTATGCAATGTATTAAATTCATACTATCCAAAAAGGACAGGCAGTCCTTAAGGGCCATGGACACCCAAAAACTGAAAGGAGCTCAAGCTCAGCTGAGAACCAGGTCCCAACTTGGAGAAGAAGAGCTGGCTTGCAGAAGCTGCCAATTGCTAATTGGCCATGAATACGGATGGGCCAGGATTACCTCCACACTGAGGAGGCCCTCAATAGACTGCCAGATCGTTGGGGCTCTATAATACTGTCAGTATTTACAAACGCGTGCACAAGTTATGCAATGGGGCTCTTATGTTCAGAGAATTAATTTCAGACAGCTCTATTGCAAAATTAGCATTCATTCGAGCTTCCTGTAAGAAAACCATATCCCTACAGTGGGGTGGGAGTGGGGGTGGCAGTCCCTGGGCACAGGGCCTGGCCGCAGGACAGCGCACACCACAGGACTCTGTGTGGTATGCGGAAGTGGAGAGGAGGCTGCCCAAAGCTCTCTGGAAGGAGGGGCTGTTCTGCTCTGTCTTTGGCAAGGGCTGTGCATCACCTCACCATCACCCAGGACGTCCGCATCTTACACATAAGAAAACTGATGGACAGAGGAACTGGCCGCTCACCCACCTGATGGCTCCCCTTCCTGTCCCTGCTGTCCCTTTCCCTGGGGGTGGGCCACCTGTGTGGGGCCCCATGCTAGCTATAAGCTAGTCATGGTATGGTCATGGTATCCAGGCCAAGAGCCTGTCCAGGAAGCAAGCCGTGCTGCTCACACGTCCCATTCAGGTCCCATTCCCAGGATGCAGCTCCTCCTGTTCCCTCTCCCAGAGGAGGGCTACACATAGACAGTACTGTGCGCTCTGTCCCTAGTCTGTCCCAGCGAAGTCAGACTTCTGACACAGAGTACCCAGGACTCTCCGAAAGCCACCTTGCTCTGGGAGCTATCTGCAAGAGGACCAGCAGAAGCTCCTTGTGGAACAGTAGAATTCAGGAGCTATGCTGTGCGACTGGAAGCTTCCAGTACCATCACAGGCATCCCATGTATATCAGACCACCTCCCCTACCACAAAGCTTCCCTGGTTGTGGAGTGGGGTGCCATGCTGACCTCCCTTGTCTGGCCTGTGCCTTTGTTTTGGTGGTGGAACCGAGGCAGCCTCTGAGCCTGATCTTCCCATTAAAAAAAGGGGAAAAAAATAGCACCCCCCACATGCCTAGGGAGCCAGAGGCCACACTCTGTCTCTGAAATGGCTTATACCACACTGGGGGACAGTAAGACACACAGGAGGGACTGGGTGAGCTCGGACCAGTGTGCACAGATAACCACAGTGGCCAACAGCTCTAACAGGGTGTGAAGCCAGATGGGGGCTCCATTCCTTAAATGCTCTCTGCAAGCCCGGGATGGTGCCCTGCTGTACTGAGTATGTAGAGTTGGGACAGCAGGGTCCTATTATTTATAGACAAGCCTCTTGGAGAAAACACCTAATCAGAGCTTTTTGGGTGGTGGTTGGGTGGGTATGATGAAAATTGAGAGACCAGATTTAGTACTGACAGGGGTCATGTGCCAGAGGCTGGAAGAAACTTGACACGAAAACTTGGGAACTGCAGACGCCAAGCTCAAAATACTAACACGAAGGGAAACGAACAGCATCACTAAAAGTAACACAAGCACGAGATAAAAACTCAGGGGGCACATAACGCCCCTCCTGGGTGCAGCTCTGGCTGGTGTTCCTGGTGCTGCACCCACCTCACTGCTAAGGGACCCAGCAGAGTCAAGCCTGCGATGTGCCATGTGCCAAAGTTCCAGAAGAAATTGCGAAAGGGGACAGAGAAGGTGGAGAAGGTGGCTCTTGGAATCTCTCATGGGCAGTTTTGTGCCAGCTCCTTCTCCATCTTTCTCATTCTTGACTCCAGGGTTGAAGACTGTGGTTCTGTGCCCACCTCCATTCCCACCGTTCTTGGGTGCAACGTTAGCAAACTGAACACCTCCTGCAATCTCTGAGCCCAGACATAGCATTATTTATGCAAACACAACACCCCCATCCAAATTCTAAATACATCAGCATGCCAGGTGACTTCATCTCACCTAATAAAAATGCTGGACTCACTGTCTCTCGGGGGAAGCATGCTGCAACCTGCCCCCCCACCCACATCTTTTCCCTACAGCCCCCAAGCCTGGAGACTGAAACCTCATACCCCTCAACCCCACTCTAAACCAGAAGGCGAGCTGGAGTCCAGAGGCTGCTACCCCTGCCCTGAGGCACTTACTTCAGCATGTCCTTGTCCTTGTTGAGGTGCTGGAAGAAAGAAGGCTCACAGATGAGCTGGTTCTCCTGGCACACCTGCTTGCAGGACTGGCCGGGTTCTGCAAGCTTTACCTGCAGGGCACTGAGGGGTGGCCACATCACTTGCCCATGGCAGAAGTCCTAGAATGACAATGAAGCTGTCAGCCAAGGGGACAAAAATGCCACTGGGGATCCCCAGCCCTGTCAAGCAATCCTGACAACAGGACGCACCAGGCTGGGAGGGAGCCATGAAAGGGAAGAGTTGGAGCCTGCCAGATGTGGGTTGAAACGAGGCTCAGCTGGAGCATGCCCTCGGGCCAGGTCTGGACCTCTCTCCTCAACAGCTTCCTCAACCACAGAAGGGGACAATGACAGTATCTCCCACAAAGGGCAGAGGATGAGAGGTAATACCTGTACCGTGCATAGCACCATGCCTGCCCAAAGAGGGCAGCTATTAATCACCATCACCATCATCAGCTACGCAATCTAGCTATCCACTCTTGAGGGCCTATCTCTGGCCCACCTCTACCAGCTGGTCTGTTCCCTCCTGATTCCAAGGACACTGTAACTGTCCACCTAATTTAACCGTTGCCTGATACGATATTGTTTCATGAGTGCTAGTTTTATTTCAATGGCAAGATTCTGACATCGGTGACAATGTTCCACTAATTCAACAACTAGAGAAATGGCCTGAGTGGTGTGTGACAAGGAGCATGGTACCCCCCACAAAGAAGGTGTGCACGATGCTCAGAGTGGGGCAGGGCCAGTCATTCCTGGATATAGAGGGAGTGGAGAAAACCAGCACGTCCAAGGAAAACACATAGCAGGGAGACGGTTGGAGGACCAGGAAGTGACCCTAGCAACACAAGGAACGATCAGCTGGGTTAGGAGGAGGAGCTGGGAAGGCAGCAGCAGGGACCCCGGCTCTCATGAGCGATGGGGACGCAGGCACCACTGGCTCCCACAGCTTGCTCTACTTGCACGCCATCAACAGAACCCCAGCAAATCCCTCCGAATCCTCGGGCTGCCCAACCTGCCCAAGGTGCCGTCTGTGCTGGAGACCTGCGCTCTGAAAGCCACTTGTAGGAATTCAGCCCACAGACACACGGGGACAAGAAAAGAAACAGGCACGGGATGGACAGCAGCATTGCTAGAGGAGAAGCAAATGACTTAAAACGACCCAAAGGCTGTATTTAAACACAGCTGCTTAAAGGTTTCTACATGCTGAATGGAAACACGTACAAGCCATGCTGAGAAATGAAAGGAGGAGAGCGGGGAACGGCAGGCAGTGTACCGGTCATGCAAGTACTGGGGTGGAGACCCACAGACAGATCGACATGTGTGCTCTGCTGAGAAGCCAATGCAATCACAGGGTCACGAGTGGTCAGGAAATTTACTTTGTAATGTATGTCCTTCTGGAATGTTTAATTTTTCCTCATGTTTCCTCTCCCTGCTCTGTGTGGACGAGGAGGTGGTGATCTCGGGGCCCAGAGCTTCCAGCACTGGTGAGCACAGAGGAAATGTCACATGCCCCACCCTTGTTTGTCATGTGGGGCGTCGCAGGAGGGGCACAAGGGGCCTCACACTGCAGGAGGGCCCAGAGCTGCATCCAGGAGGGGCCTATGTACTGTTTTTTTTTTTTTTACCTTGTGCTTACAGTACTTTTAATGAGCCAAAAGATGACAAAAAAGAGCAAAGCAAAATTCGCCCCAGGCTCTGCAGCAGCAGTCTCTGACACCACAGCCTGCCTGTCCCTTTTATTAGTCTGCGAACCTTTGAGCAAAATATGCAACATTCCGAAGCCTCAGTTTCCTAGTCAGAAAAATGCAGATGATGACAGTGATGGCTTCCTCAGCTCTCCCAACCTCCTTCCTGGAGGAGGTGGCCCTGCCACATGCTGAGAAAGACAGCTGGTGGGTTGGGAGCACTTGGTGCCAGCTTCCACTCCAGTCTGCTCCCACGTCACACGTGCCTGAGGAGGGACTCAACTGTGTGGGCCTGAGTCTGGAGGTGAATAAACTGAAATGCTTTACTGAACGGTGCGCAGGAAACCTAGATGTGGACTCACCTCAGCTGACAGCAGGATTCTAGAAGGGTCTAATAATCCAGACGTGGTAGAAATATAACTAGGTTATTTAGAGATAGTAGGACACAGCTTAATCTTCTGAAAGTGATGGATGGAGGGTGGGTAAGCAGTGTCCTAGGACCCACACAGCCCTGGGCACCCCCAGAGATGGACCACTGGGCAGGCACATACTGAAACAGAAGCCCCTGTTATAAGCCTTTTCTCACCAGGAGGTGCAAGCCCACTGGGTGCTCAGAGGCTGAAGGTTTTCTGTTCCATTCACCCACAGCACAGGCTAATAGGGCAATGCCAACGTGCCTTACCTGCTCACCGAATGCACTCGTTCATTCACTCATCCGACAAACACTTGCTAAGAGGCAGAAAAGCAGAGTGCAGACTGCCTGGGTTTGAATCTTATTTCCTCCGCTTACTAGCTGAGTGATCTTGGCTAGTTACATAATATTTCCTTGCCTCAGTTTCCTCAATCATAAGATGTATGTTAATTGTTCCCTCATAGCACTGCAGAGGGGATTAAATTAATTCTAATGTATGAAGTTCTCAGAGAAGTGCCTGACACAAATAACACCATCTGTGTGTTGGCTGTCACCATTACAACGTACAAGGCACTCTTCCAGACACTTGGGGGGAGGGTGACTTGGTGAACTAATGGATCCAAAACCCCTGCCTTCATAGAGCTTATGTTCAGCGAGGAAGATGGATGAGACAAGATTAGAGGCTCTGACAAGGAGGCGCAGGGAGTTCCGGGTGACCTGGGGAGAGTGTGTATTGGTGGCAGGAAGTAGGAGGAGATGGGACTCAAGAGTTCCCAGGGAGTCCAGCACAGAAAGCTTTAGGGGCCAATGTAAAGCACAGGATCTTCAGTGCTGAGGACAGACTGCAGGAGCAAAAGCAGACGCAGACAGTTAGGAAGCCACTGCAATAGTGCAGGAGAGAGACAAGGAACTGAGACCAGACGTGAGCATCTCTGTTCAGCAAACCTCCATGAAACACTCATACAAGCTGGCTTTGAAGGTGTCCTCACTCATTCATTCAAAACTTTACACATGACTATTAAAGCCTCACACTAGGTGTTTGAAATACAAACACGATGGCGATGCAGTCCTTGAGCTCAGAAGTTCAGTGCACAGTCTAGTGAGAGAGGCTGACACTTAAAAACTGACAGAATAGTACAAAACAGATGCTCAAACAGGATGCAAAGGCCAGTTGGAGGAGGGAAAGGATTAGCTGTTTGGGGAGGGAAAGAGTGGTGGTGGTAGCAGTCAGAGAAGGTCTCCAGGAGATAGGGATGTCTGGGCTGGGTTTTGCAGGCTGAATAGGAGTTGGCGGCTTACCACTAACATGGTCCCTTGCATATAATTGGCGCTCAGTAAAGAGCTATAGAACTTAACTGAATGGCTTTGGCATTCTGGGGCTTTGATAGTCATAGAATTAGAAGACGAGACTATTCCAACCCAGTGAGGGTTCTACGCAGCCAGAATGAGGTACAAACAGTGATTTCCAATTTGGTTAAGAAGCCCACTTAGAACATCTGCATTCCTCTCTAACAATAATTTCAACCAGTCACCAAATTCTCCTCAATCTGCTTGACTATTCTGAAATTTCCATGCAGTAACCACAAGCCATAAAGAAAGGTCTATTAACCAACAAATTAATGAGAAAAATGTTCTAAACAAATGAATACAACCTCTGTGAAGAGGAAGTAAGAGCACCACCTCTGTAATGAAGGCTAAGTAACAGCACGAAGACAACGTTCTTCACAAAAGCACCAAAAGAGCTAGAGAAGACCAGGGCTGGGGGTGGGGAGAGAGAAGCACCTAGGAGAGAAGCACCAGGTGAAGGGGCTGGCTTGTCCCTCCCTCTTGGTTGGCTGGGCCAGATGGAAAGTGTCACCAGTTTGGAGCAAAACAGAGGAGCAGGAACAGAAGAGCCAGTAAGAGTGGTATGTGATGGGTCTTTCCCACCTCCCCCGCCCTGTCCCCAGTCCAGGTCAGATCTCTCATGGAGTTATTATAAGCCCACAATATATTAGGTCCAAGTGGACTTCTCTGGAAAGCCACATTGTTTGGGACCAAGAAGATAGGGACAGATACACAGGTCTGGGGGCAGGATCTAGAGGAAGTAAGATCAGGAATTTGCAAACAAAAAAGGGGTGGGGGGCCGACCCCATGGCTCACTCGGGAGAGTGCGGCGCTGGGAGAGCAGCGGCACTCCTGCCGCAGGTTCGGATCCTATATAGGGATGGCCGGTGTACTCACTGGCTGAGCGCAGTGCGGGCGACACCAAGCCAAGGGTTGCGATCCCCTTACTGGTCACAAAAAAAAAGGGGGGGGTGGGGGGCTCCAGGCCATGAACATAGGATTTGGACCATATTCAGCCAGCTGTTTGAGGGACAAGGGACACATTTGTTATTTGTGCTCTAGCTGGGAAATCCAGGGCCTGGCACAGAAGTGTTCAATAAACACTAAGTGATTGATGGATGGGATTAAGCACACCTCAGCTGCCTGCTGGAACCTACCATTTTCTGCCTGTGCTGTCCTTCAAAAGGAAGTGAACTCTGTCCACATGCGGCCCCTGGAGCTGTTTCCCAGAAGTGGGTGTGAATCTGTTTCCACAAAGGCAACAGAGAAGACGGCTGTGGAGCTGAGCATCATGGATTAATGCCCACGGATGATCTCTGCACCTGCAGATCAACTGAGCCAACAAGCTTACTCTTGAAAGAGTTAGACATAAATCTACCACAGTCCACACTCTTCTACTACTAGGAGTCTACCCAAAAGAAAAAAAACTCATCTATGTGAAGACTGCAGTTCATAGCAACACTTATCACAATAGTCAAAAGGCAGAAATAACCCAAATGTCTATCAGCTGGTGAATGGATAAACAAACTGTGGTATGTCCAGACTGTGGAATACTGTAAGCAATAGAAAGAACTAAGTTCTGATACATGCTACAACATGGATAAATCCCAAGACATAATGCCAAGTGAAAGAAGCCAGAAATCTCCAGAAAAGGCAAAGGAGACAAAAAAATAGATCCGTGTTTTGCTGGGGCTAGT